ACTAAGGTGGTCGCTATGAGCAGGTGGCCGCTCTGCACAGGTGGTCGTTAACACAGGTTTGACTGTACTCGTATTTAATACTGTATGTACACCATAACATACACAAACTTCATGTAAATATAATAGGTCTTGGCAAACTACTTACGGATACTTGCATAGCTTCTTGGTAAAACAAGATGTCAGTAATGTCGGGATGATATAATTTGTTGGTTTTCATATTAAAGATATAGTAAACATTCGTTTGCTCAGTTCTTATGTATGTGTTGTGTACAACTTCTGTTTTTGTGTAGTTTATGTATACAGATCATGTGCTTGGATAATTCATGAATTATGTTACCATATAATTTTCTTTTAATTTACACACCCAGGTCATTTTCAAAACCTAATTATTAGTCGCTGTTTGAACAAAGTTTGAATAGAAACTTGTGGTTTAGTCTCCGTGCATCCAGCCGGATCTGAACCTTAGACGTCCTTGGATTGATTTTTTTCAAATGCTACACATGCATTGATTTGGTGATCTGATTAATGATGGCCAACTGCTGGCCATTTATTATCTATGAATGCACTAAAATGGATTCTTTTCAGACACACTTGGGCTGATTTGTTTCAAACTAGGTATGAGGTTCGTGCATATTGGCTGTATGATGTATGTCAAGTTTTTTTTTCAAAATGGCCGACAAGCTGCCATTTTGTTTTCATGGTCTTGCATGGAGTCATTTATCAGACATGTTTTGAGTGAGCAAATAACACCGAATAAACGGCAAGGTAAAGACTATGTCTAATTATAGTAAATACGTACTGCGTGCGCGACTCGAACCGGCGCTCGCGTACGGCACCAAATCGCCTAGCTTCACGCCACTACACGTCTTCCCCTCGGCCACCGGGCATCCCCAAAAAAGGATGCTTAATAACCGAGCTTATTACGTGCAGAGAACATGAAACCCGTCCACGCCATACGCGCCACACAGCATGGCCAGAATGCGGCAAAGGCCTTCAGATCTGGCTGTAGTAGGATGGTGAAAGTAATGGTACAGCATTGTAACAGTGAATAAGTACTGAGAAATAATTTTAAACTCATAGTTGCTGTCGACATAGGAAGTAAAGTAAGCAAATAACACCGAATAAACGGCAAGCTAAAGACTGTCTAATTAACCCGGCCATGCTGCGGCAAAGGCCTTCAGATCTGGCTGTAGTAGGATGGTGAAAGTAATGGTACAGCATTGTAACAGTGAATAAGTACTGAGAAATAATTTTAAACTCATAGTTGCTGTCGACATAGGAAGTAAAGTAAGTAAATAACACCGAATAAACGGCAAGGTAAAGACTATGTCTAATTAACCCGGCCATGCTGTGTGGCGCGTATCGCGTTCTATCTGTGATTCCCCCTGGCCTCTGTGTGTTTGTCCCACTCATATGGACCCTGTTGTCGTTATCACATGATGTACAACTTTATACTTACAAACAATTTAGATTTGATTGGAACTGATAGCTCTGTACATGCCAGGGCACCATTGGTGTGTGGACCTTACTAACCATACTGAAGCGCAACCAGTTTGAATTTTTCGGCAGACAAATCGGTAAGTTTCTCTTTTCTGCCAGAGATGGGAAACAATTGTGCCATCCATTTCTATTGTTTGTCTTGTATATTTAATTTGGCATACTCAATAGAAATCTTAAATGCTAGGTTGAAAATAATATGTAAATGTCTGTTTGCGCTTCGGCACTGGCTAGTGATTGCACCTTTGAATGAGGCTTCTTGATCTGAGAGATTTGGTAGGTTGCCCGATCTGGCCTAGTAGGTAGATCTCCCCCTGATAAACAGGAGTAGGTAGACACTCTCCCTCCAATTAAACCTAGTAGGTAGGTCCCTGGATCTGAGCTAGCACATACATCTCGGATCTGGGCTAGTAAGTATGTCCTCAGATGTGAGCTAGTAAATAAGTCTCTAAATCTGGGACTTGTAGGTAGGTCTTCAGATCTGGACTAGTAGGATGTCCTAGGGGTAGTAGGTAGATCCCTAGATCTGGACTAGTAAATAGGTCCCAGGATCTGGGCTAGTAGTTAGGTCCCAGGATCTGGGCTAGTAGATAGGTCCAAGGATCTGGGCTAGAAGTTAGGTCCCAGGATATGGGCTAGTAGATAGGTCCAAGGATCTGGGCTAGAAGTTAGGTCCAAGGATCTGGGCTAGTAGATAGGTCCCAGGATCTGGGCTCGTAAATGGATCCCTAAATCTTGGCTTGCAGGTAGGTCTCTAGATCTGGATTAGTAGGGTATTCCAGGGATGTAGTGAAATCCATAGATTGAAGGTTTGCATCAAAGAGGGGGATTCCTCTTCAGTTTAGACAGGTCTCTCGCACTAAGGGTTGTCATTTATTTCCTATATACATCTTTCTGTATGATAGAGACACTTGCTCAGTATGCACCAAAATCATATTTTGCTTGGTATGTTTAGTTAAAACTGTATTTAGAATTGAGCAAACAAATTGAACAAATTTGTGTTAAATGCACTATTAATTCTTGCTTCACACCAAACACTTTTATTTTCCTGACTTCCAATACTAATATTATATACCTTTTGTATTTTAGGTTTGAAAAGTTGGACATTACCCCCAAAAGTGCTCAGAAAATCAAACCAGTTCTTGAACAGTGGATGTCCGAAGCTGAAGATCGTCATAAAAATGGTGTGGGACCTTTGACAGAGTTTGTTGGCAGTGAACCATCCAAAAAGCGGAAACGTCGTACCTCGTTTACCCCGCAGGCACTAGAGATACTGAATTCACATTTTGAGAAAAATACCCACCCATCAAGTCAGGATATGACAGAGTTATCTAATAAACTGAACTATGACAGGGAGGTAGTTAGAGTGTGGTTCTGTAATAAAAGACAAGCATTGAAAAACACCATCAAACGATTAAAGCATGATGGTACAGTGGAGAATCAATCTAGTGTCTAGGGACAGTTGCTGCAATTTCGGTTTTGCAGATTTAATTTCTTCCGTGTTTATTACTGCTTATTTATTATCCCAGTTACAGTTAGAACACAATGAAAATATATTAAACTATCCTGCCCTCTCTTGAGTTTAATTATGCTTTTTTTGGGGGTTTAATTATGCCCTCTATTGAGAATGTCCTGTATTAGGTGAATCAGGTGATAATCATGTCTCCCATTGGGTAAATTACTCCCTTTAGTTTTTGCATTAACTATGCCTTGTGTTGGGTGAGACGCAATATCTATTAGTAGAATCATGGGTGAATCATGCCCTCTATTGGTTTAATCATGTCCTCTATTGGGTGAGTTATGCCCTCTATTGGGTGAATCATGCCCTCTATTGGGGGAATCATGCCCTCTATTGGGTGAATTGAGGGCTATTGGGTGAATTATATATTCTGTTGAGTAAATTGGGCCCACTATTGATTCACTGTTATTACAAAAATTGATAGAATTTCTTTTTTGATGACATGTTATTATAACATAGCTGACAAATTTGATCCGTATTTTATTATTTATAAAATCTTTTGTAAATGCTAGCTTCCGAAGATATTTATTTTATCTATATTTTTTTTTTATATTTATAAAAGCCAAAATTTTTTTTTTATATTTGTGTGTTTCTATTAATATTTCCTTAATAACTATTATTCAAAATTGACATTTTAAACCTTGACGACGCAAGAGAGCTGTTGATGGTGTTGCATGATGGCACTATTTGAATTATGAATCACTGCATGTTAAGTGATAAATTATTTAATCATGATGAAATGAAGTTATTTTGAATATTTAAATCAAATTCTGAGAAATAGTTTATGAAACTAAATCTATTTATTATTGTGTCAGTTGTTAATTATGTAATGTCTTGTTTGAGTATAATGGATTATAATGTAATGGATTAGACATAAATGTTGAGGATTTATGAGATGAGGGGCATGCAATTTTGATATTTATGTACAATGATACAACTTCTTGTGATCTTCATGTGTGCATTGATCAAACCGTTTGTAACCAATTCTAGGAAATGTTTGAATACGTGAACAGAAATGAGTGAAATCACT